CTGTAGCCCTTACCTGATTTCTGCTTATAATGCCAATTTTTCCCTGAAGTAAGTAAGCAACTTAGAGCTCATAACTTCAGGTAACTGGATGCTATTGCTTCTAGGGACTTCAGAATATTAGAAAATAAATGGTGGTTATAGCACTTTATATACCTGTAAAAATCAACCTATATTTAATTTTAATGTTGTGCAGGCAAACTGACAAAGGTCCATGGTTTGTTTTCACCGCAGATTATAAAAGATGTGCCAGGCTACTTACACGGCTGGCTGTCAGTCCCATGTGCATGGAGAGATAAGGTAAGCTCCCAGACAATCGTGGTGGCCAAACAGCAAGGGTCAGAATGCCATGTATGTCATTAAAGAACACATGGGCATTTAGACACATTCATTCTTTCACTATAGTAGCTTCACTCTGAGCAAAAGACAACCAATCTATCTCAAACAAAGGCCATGGGTACAAGGCTCCCCCTGCTGGCTATCTATGGTGTACATTGTTACTGGAACTTCATATAGCAGACAGTTTAACATCAGGGTACATGCTTCAACCCATTGCTATTGACTTCCGGGATGGACTAATGCACTGACATTTATGAACACAGACATCCTTCAAAATTTATCTAATAAACAATATAGAGACTGTGTCAGGCTAGAACTGTGGTTCCCTGCTGCGCAGCATTGCGCTGCATATCAGCCCATAAAAACACCAAATTAAAAAACTAAAGCATGAGGTTGGGGATATATCTCAGAGGGTAAGAGCACTTACTATGTACACAGAAATCTCTGAGTTCAAATTCCTACTAGTCATGGTAAAATGCCAGGCATGGCAACAGATACCTGTAACCCCAGAACTATGCTGCCCAGACAAGAGTTTCAGTGAGAGACCCTGTCTTGAAGGACTAAGGTAGAGTGTTGCATAACAGGACACTCACCATCCTTCTCTGGCTTCTGTATGCATACATGGGATGTACACCTGCATATACATATGTATATAACACACACACACAAATCCTGAAACGTGATACTGGTCAAGTGTGCATTCCTTTTGCACCTTGGTAAAGTAATATAAAATTCTAAGTTAGGCTATACTACCTACTACTAATCACAGCCACACAAATTTTATGTATCTGGTAAAGGTTTGGAGTCCTATCGTTATAGTAAAAAAAAAAACTAACACAGCTAACATAAATGTTTCTGTGAGTGCACACCCTTAATGCCTAGTGGAAGAAGTGTAAACCCACTATCAGGTTGTAACTATATACTGGCCTCTTGATGCTCCCAACTGTGCTGCTAACAATGTATAGGGGGAAGTTGACTTTATTTCCCAACAGATTCCACAATACTCATTCATTCAAGACTGATTGACAGAGCTTTAGTTTAATCTTTTCTGTATATCTGTCATAAGTATGTCAGGCATTATTAGGTGGGGATTCACACCACAAATAAGACCTACTTCCTGAATGCAAATGGCTGTTCCCAGAAAACTTGCCTGCTGTCCAGAAAATACAAATAAAAAGTAAATGTTGCATTTTTTTAGTAGCTGTTCTAGCTTGTCTCATAAAAAATGGATGAGAGCAGCACTCTTTTATATACGGATATGTTCAGTAAAACAGCAGCACTGTGCACAGAGGTAAACTCTGGACATGGCTGGGTCATCAGGGCCGAAACACAGTAGCCTCACAGTGTCAGCCACAACATCCTCACAATCTGGACCAAGAGCCACTAAAAATAAGGGCGTCTCTACTGACGGTGAGGTGAAGCAGTGAGGCCTGCATAAGCAAACTGGCTCTTTCTGGAGGAAGCAGGTGTGTTTATGCCAGTCAAAGCTGGAAAGTGCATGCCCTCATTTCCCTTCTTTCCAACGTTTTTAATATTTTTAAGCACTGCATTTATAGCACACAGAAGTGTTTCTCTTAAATGGAGACACACACACACAGACACACACACACACACACACACACACGTATACCTGGGCTGGTAGTGTGCTGGGGAGATAAAAATGGCAGTTCCATTATGTCCCTTGCGAAGTATTGCCATTTACTCCTAAGCAGGGAGAGAATGTTCAGCCTATTCTCTGAGAACTTTCTTGCCTTTGGTACCACTAAGCCTGCTGAGGACTAGCTTATCCTGTACAGGACTTAGTTTCCTAAAGAGCCAAACCACCACCTGCACACTGTACTCACGCACCAACTCTACTTGGTCTGTGTCTGGCAGGCATCAGCAGCACGTGTGCTTGCCCCGATACAGTGTATCACAGAAAACAGCAAGGAAAAGGCAAGGCATGTTGAATAGACTGAACATGGGACTGCCACACTGGCCTCTGCTACATCTCCTGCAGCATCCAGTCAGAACTGACAGGGTATTGCAACACAGTAGAGGGACAGGAAGATCTGTGTTCACAAACTTCTACACCAAAGGCCACCTGCTTCAACAGTCACTTGTCACAAATGGAATAGGTTCAGTTTGGCCAAACTATGGGGGCAGGGGGCAGTTTAAAACACTAGTATCCTTGTCAGCAATTAGTTTTAAACCTTTATTTTTTAAAAGATTAAACTCTCTTAAGGCAGAAGGGTTTAAAATGACAGCAAACCTGTATCTAGCGGTCACCAGTAGAAAGCTTAGGTAGGTATCTCAGTGCTTTGCAGGTTGGTTCAGGGCACTAGTCAGACCCTCGGGGCCAGAACCAGCATCATGTCTCACCACAATGGAGGAAAAAAAAACCCGGTTCACAATGTCCACACAAGTCTTCTGCTGTGTCCAGCTCCCATCTTCTCAAGACAATTGGTAGATTCCTGTCCCAGCAATTGCCCACAGCCTACGGGCAAGGTTTTACAAATCCTAGAAGACTAGTAATGAGCAAACTCATGGTTTCCTTGGGAAGCTCAGTAACTGTCCTCAGACCAGGCAAAGCATATTCTGAGTCACACACATACCTTATCATTGAGCCTGTAGGTCAGTAAATTGAAAACCCTGAGCCTGGGTTACCTCTTAAAGTACAGACTTCAGTACTAAGCATCCAAGTACCTGGCTTAACCTGAACATAGTCTAGTAGCCCTGATGTTACCCTTCTTTTAAAACTAAAAGGCAAACATATTTTAACAAAGAGTACCAGAAAGGGTTTTGATTACATAATAGCTTTACTGTGTGAATGCAGAAGAGTAAGGCAGACTCTTGACCTGAAGTGACACTGCAAATCTGTTGACTGAATACCCAAGGAACCCTATCATACATGTAAGACCAAGAACTAAAGTTAACTTTAGTAAGTATTCATCCACAGGTGTGCATGATGGCCTTCATCACTTAGGCAGCGAACACATGGTAACTAAAGAATCCTTTTCCAGATGGGATTGGGGGAAAGACCTAGACTCTGAACATAAGAGAATTACAGACTCCTTGTTTATAGATGTGTTGTTATATTGCTGGACTCACAGGTCCTTTAGAATTGGTAATAAAAATGAGTGGCTATATGAAATCAAATGTAATTGTTTTCAGCTGCAAAGGAGCAACACCAGGAACCCTGAAAAGTGCCTTGGAAACCAACAGAGAACAGAACCATCTTCATGCCCATTTCCTGTGGACAGAGATTTATTTTTGCATTCTTCCGTAATTCCTTTGCATTTTCTATGTTGCTGACAGTTTACAAATATACATTCAGCAAACCAGTGTATCTGTCAGTGAGATTTGCCACTCTTAGATTATAAGAGAAACACTCCACATTTGATGTTTAATGCTATGAGGTATTTCCCTTTTAAGATTAGGTGGAACCACAAGTATTTCTTTAGAAACATAGGCAGAACATTAAACTGTATTTTCATAGAGTATAAAGTATGATTTGACATTTTGTATTACTTCTACATTTAAACTCCCAAAGTATAGTTTGGAACTGCATGAAAAATTTTAATGAAAACCAAAAAACCTCACTTGTTTTGAAGACAGTGGCATATCAACACGTGGATATGCCCAGGCCAGTCTCATTTGTCCTCTGTAAGTACACTCCAGGTATTGTACAATATGTAAATACTGTGAATAAGTACAAGGAAATAAATGAAGTGTTTGGTATAATGAACAGTCTTCAGAGCGACTCTTCTATATCATTGCTCAATATATACATATATATGTACACACACATATATCAATATATACACGTATATATGTACACACACACATGCATATGTGACATGCATATATGTGTAGAGATGTCACTAAGTATTAAATGACATAAATTCCTGATTTCTTGGTCTCATTTAGTCACCAATACTCCAAATAAGTTCAAACTATTTCCTACATGATTGTTAAGAGAATGCCAAACTAAGAACACCAAGAACAGTTCCAATTTTTAATGACTGCATTTTTTAAAAAAGTAATTGGTTTGAACTTAAAAAGGTTAAGTTTCAGTGTTCATGAGCTCTTACAAACACATGATGATGTTTGGAACAGCCACAGAATTAAGTAGCCACCAGAAGCCCATATTCCAAGGATTTGCACCTAGAGTATACAGGTAAAAATTCAAGAAAATAGGACTTTATAGTGTGAAAGAGAAATCTGAGACCCTGAAGCAACTCCCAAGCTAGGATGAGAGCTTCTGACTTAATGGGGTTGACTATTTGTCTTTTGCCTTCCTAGTTTTTAACTTTGTGAAAACCATGACCAAAACCCCACAGGAGCCAGAAAGTTAACTGGTGGTCTGACTATCTTTGTCAGGACATCATGGCCTTTCTGTGAGGAGAGGATGTTGGGGTAGTTGCTTTCCTCTAGAGGGTCAACTGTGAGCTCCAGTCAAGCAGGTAACTGCATATTCCCAGGTCTCTGTGCTTCTTTCAAACATTGGGATGCCTTTTCTAATTAGAAGTTCTCCAGGACTGGAGGTCACCAGTTGTGACCAGTTAAGTCAGGCTAAGACAGTTACCACCTACTCAGCAAGGAAGCTGGACCAGTTACATGAAGAAGGCCCAAAGATAAGGATAGTTCCCAGAGTCTCTTAATTAAGCATACATCACCGTATGTCACAGCAGCGTGCTTTTATTTTTCATTACTTTACTTTCTAATACTGAAAATAAGTACACAAATTTAACATCAGGCCAAGTAAAAAGGCACATGGAGGCAATGTTTTACATTTTTTTTTCATTTGTCAATTAGAAAGCAGGCACACACCAGATTTCGATTTCAATTATATTTGTTAACTTCCCAGTTTAACACGAATTCTTTTCTGACATGAATTTGAGGTCACTTTTCTGAAAATGCATTTAAATTACACATGCTTGCCTGTAACTTTAAAATGTTGATGAAAGAATACTACAAACATTCCACTGTTTAAGCACACCTTTTTTAAGAGGTAAAGTGGCTCAAATAGGAACAAAGCTCAAAAACACTAGACAAAAACCAAGAATAAAAATGCTAATTTTATCAATCTGTTGCTCCCCTCTTCACTGTATAGCCCAGGATGGCCTCCTGGAATTGCAGGCCTGCGTTATCCAGCTTCTTCTCTTCTGAATATTTAAATGTCCTCCAGTGTGTCTGAGTTTAAACTCTTCCAATGTTAAATGGAAGGTTGATACGGATGGAGTTATTGTCTGAAGAGTCTATGACACAGGTATAAGGCAAGCAAATGGCACCCTGGGTGCTGGCCATGCACACACTCTGGTCAGACCAGACCACCCAGGCTAGCTGGGGTCGGAGGCTGACCTGAACCTTGTAGGTCATTTTTACTTCATTGTGTTCTATTTTGTTCCATATTTGCTTGTTCCACTATTTTGTAATTAGGGAAGGTGAGAGGTTCAACTAGTCTAAGAAAGCTTAGCCTCACCTCAAACTGTCTTACTCAAGATATTTTTATCCTTCTGAACATATACCTAATTTCCACCTACAGTTATTTTACAGGTCGACAGTAAGTCAGCTGAAAAGACAGCTGGGGCGTGGGGCTAAGGACTGCCACCACCCTTGGGCATGGCTCTGTGAGAGAGTTGCTCAGTGGTGGTGGGCAGGACCATCTAGTGAGTCTTCTCCAGGAAGGCCTTGCAGCACCGGAGGCATTGCTGGTACACCACTTCAAAGTCAGAATCATTGCCCTAAAAGAACAAAAAAGAAAACCCAACAATGGTTTATGATGGCAATGTCCTCAGAAGACCCAGACCTGTCATTTAATACCACAGAATACATCCTGTCCATCTTAACAGTGGCCCCAAACCTGAAATGTACTTACATAATAGGGATCTTCAATAATGAGTTGTTTCTGTGGATCATAGCTCCCAAGTAGCTCAATTTTAGCTTTGCAGTTTTTAACTTGATTACTTTTTCTATTCAAATCTCTGCAAAATTGAAACATGAACTTAGATTTCTGATCTATGGTTTTAAGTTAAACAGGGACATCTGCTCAGGGTTTATGAAATACCCTATCAAAATACAACAGAGCAACCTGATTTGAAATGAAACAGAACACTCTGCAGACCTGTGGGACTCCTGCAGCTATATGCCACAGTGCACGGAGTCTGATACCCAAATGTGCATCTGTAAGTCACACAATTATTAGGCTTTCTTCTGATTTTGAAATGTATTTCGGGACAATAAAAAGGATACCATTTCAAAAAAAAATGCCAGGAAAGAACTCTAAATGTATGTATGTATGTATGTATGTATGTATGTATGTATGTATGTATGTATACCACGCCCCAAGACAAAGGGATCATACAGATAATGTTCATGTCAAGTGAAGACAGGAGCAAGTAGGACTGAATGCAAGGACAGGGGAGTGAGACCATGAGCAAGTGTGGTTGGGACAAGTATGTCCAGTGGAAAGCGTGAAGGCCAAGGTGGCAGCAGCTATGATTTTAGGCCCTTCTAGACCCACCCATCTGTCCTGTGAACTCAGGAGAGTGACTCAAGTTCACTGTTCCTCATTTTCTTTCTTGGTAATACAGTGAATTTACTAAAGAGGGGTGTGGCCCTGCAGATCACATCAGCATTACAGAGCAATCACTGCTACTTAACACCTTAGCCCATCACTGTTAATTAACCAAATGTAAACCCTAGAGTTCTGCACTTATAAAGAAATAAGATACAAGATACTCCTCATCTGTTACAGCAGTAAACTGAATTAATGCAAATCCATGCATCACCTCTACACCTATAGCCCCAAACCAGCGGGTTCCATGTCCACTCACTGCACTAGCTGGACTCTCCATGTCCACTCACTGCACTAGCTGGACTCTCCATGTCCATTCACTGCACTAGCTGGACTCTCCATGTCCACTCACTGCACTAGCTGGACTCTCCATGTCCATTCACTGCACTAGCTGGACTCTCCATGTCCACTCACTGCACCAGCTGGACTCTCCATGTCCACTCACTGCACTAGCTGGACTCTCCATGTCCATTCACTGCAAGAGCTGGACTCTCCATGTCCATTCACTGCACTAGCTGGACTCTCCATGTCCATTCACTGCAAGAGCTGGACTCTCCATGTCCACTCACTGCACTAGCTGGACTCTCCATGTCCACTCACTGCACTAGCTGGACTCTCCATGTCCACTCACTGCACTAGCTGGACTCTCCATGTCCACTCACTGCACTAGCTGGACTCTCCATGTCCACTCACTGCACTAGCTGGACTCTCCATGTCCATTCACTGCAAGAGCTGGACTCTCCATGTCCACTCACTGCACTAGCTGGACTCTCCATGTCCACTCACTGCACTAGCTGGACTCTCCATGTCCACTCACTGCACTAGCTGGACTCTCCATGTCCACTCACTGCACTAGCTGGACTCTCCATGTCCACTCACTGCACTAGCTGGACTCTCCATGTCCACTCACTGCACTAGCTGGACTCTCCATGTCCACTCACTGCACTAGCTGGACTCTCCATGTCCACTCACTGCACTAGCTGGACTCTCCATGTCCACTCACTGCACTAGCTGGACTCTCCATGTCCACTCACTGCACTAGCTGGACTCTCCATGTCCATTCACTGCACGAGCTGGACTCTCCATGTCCACTCACTGCACTAGCTGGACTCTCCATGTCCACTCACTGCACTAGCTGGACTCTCCATGTCCACTCACTGCACTAGCTGGACTCTCCATGTCCACTCACTGCACTAGCTGGACTCTCCATGTCCACTCACTGCACTAGCTGGACTCTCCATGTCCACTCACTGCACTAGCTGGACTCTCCATGTCCACTCACTGCACTAGCTGGACTCTCCATGTCCACTCACTGCACTAGCTGGACTCACCATGTCCACTCACTGCACTAGCTGGACTCACCATGTCCACTCACTGCACTAGCTGGACTCTCCATGTCCACTCACTGCACTAGCTGGACTCTCCATGTCCACTCACTGCACTAGCTGGACTCTCTTTTGGAAGCCACATCTCTGTACACAGATGTGAGTCAACCATACCTCATCCTCAGATAGTTATGTCATGTTGAATAATTCTGTAAATTATAATCAACCTTGTATATTAAAAACTGTAAGACAATAAAGTCATTTTGTACAACTTAGTGGGGCTATGACACAATTGAGAAGGGGACAGAAATGCTTTTTAAAATATGATTACCTCCTTGGGTAGTAGATCAGTATACATCCCGAGTATGTATGGACTTTGGACTCCCATCCAACAATGTGAGATGCACTCTCACCCTGAACTCTTGGGGGAGGGTCTAGGCCCTGCCCTGGATGAAATGACAGACTATGGACACCCCATGGAGGGCCTCACCCTCCCTGGGGAAATGAGGGGATAATGTGGGAGTTGGGGGAAGGGCACGGGAGGAGGGAAGGGAAAGGGAGAGATACCTGGAACTGACTCGTGAACCAACCATGTTTCTAATCTAAATTTAAACATCAAAATTAAAAAATTTAATAAAAAAAATATGATTACCTTATGAGGTGGCGCTGGCTTTTAATTCCAGCACTCAGGAGGCAGAGGCGGATGTGAGTTCCAGGATAGACAGGGCTACACAGAGAAACCCTGTCTCAAAAAACCAATTATATATATGATTACCTCAGATTGCTTTCATCCATACACAGTATATAATCGAATGTAGCAAAGTCTTCTCTTGTAATCTGCAATTAAGAAGTCAAAACACAGTGATTATATACATACAAAACAGTAGTTGGGAAAAAAACATTTAATTACATATTAACTAACTAACTAAATTACATGTTCAGCCATTAACTAAAATTTTAACAAAAAAAGCAATTTGGGATATGTAATCATTGTATTTCCAAAACTATATTGCAAAATAATTTTTAGAACATTCTTTGAAATAATCAGAAAATATAAAAATGGACATTTTGTACAAGGTTCTTTGAAATAATTAGAAAACATAAAATTCGGACATAAAGCTTATTGTTAGTGTTGGACCCTCGGGAAAGAAATATAAATCTGCTGACACATGAGATGACTTTCTTGCCATCACCTCCACTACTCTATTTGTCACTCCACTGATGGTCTTAGGCCATGGAGACACTCTCCAGCTTAATCAAGGGACAGATCTTCTAGTGGAACCATCCATCCATGAAGCAAGGCAGAGAGGAGATACAGGGTCTCAGAAAAGGCAGAATAACTGATTTCAAAGGGTCCACCATGACAAGAATGCACAACTGCAAATCCACAACTTAACATGGAAGGGTTTCCTCCAGTACTTTTTTCTGGCACTGTACAGCTTAAGATATGTAATAGTAGAAGAAATTTATCTTCTAGATCTTGACTACCCAGGAAGCATCTAGGTAAAAGGAGTAATGATTATAGCCAAATAATAATAAAAATGGTCACTTGCTTGTTACTCAAATGGGAAATTTTAGCTTTTGGTATACACTTCTACTAACTTTTAGTATAGCATTTACATAATCACAAAGGGCTGTATTGTTTTAATATTCCCAAGATGTGTAACTTATTTCAAAGATTCTAAAATACTATCACATAGTGTTATTTTTTCAAGTTATGAGAAATATCTTAGCATTAGTTTTGAACTTACTATAATTAATTTGTCCTTTAAAAGAGGTGGAGTCAAACCACACTAGATTTTCAGGTTTTAAGCTAGCTGAGAAAGAAGAGTAGTTAAAACTTTATCTTGTGAAGAATGAACACACAGTAAAGCGTTTTTGCACACAGAATATGGCATGTGAAAAATCCATCCCGTTACCAAATATCATTAGAAAACCCACACAGAAACCAAGATTCTTCTTCAAGGTGAGAGGCATGCTCCTAAGAATACCTGCTCATTGTAGCAGTATGGCAGGAATACAGCCACAGACAACAGATGACCTCCAGTTGACCTCCACTGCAGGGGCCTCACCTGCTGAACCCAGTGAGCACTGACGGGACCCTACCCAGAGCTCTCCCAAAGGCCTTTTAACTCTCAAGTCACTATAGTCCAAGAGATCTTTAACTCTCAAGGCATCCAAGTCCACATCCAAACAGCCCATTTATGAGAGTTTTATCATTGTTGAAACTAAGACAAAATTATTTTTTTCCTAATTAAAAAAATACAAATTCAGGACTAGAGAAATGTCTCAGTGGTGAAAAGCACTTGTTACTCTTATAGAGGACCCAGGTTTAGTTCCCAGCATTCACATGGTGTCTCACAAGAGTGTAATATAATTCCAGTTTCAATGATTCTAACATCCTCTTCTAGCCTCTGCAAGCATCACACAAATGCAGTACACAGACTTTCAAATGAAACACTCATACACATAAGAATAAATAAATATTTTTTAAAACCTAGGACTATGGGCTTTTTTTCTCAAGATTTGTTTTTGTCTGTTCATTTATTTATTTTGCATGTGTGTGTGTGTGTGTGTGTGTGTGTGTGTGTGTGTGTGAAGGTATGCACCTGTGAGCAGACGCTAGTAGAAACCAGAAGGTATCAGATTGCCGGGCGGTGGTGGCGCACGCTTTTAATCCCAGCACTCGGGAGGCAGAGGCAGGCAGATCTCTGTGAGTTCGAGGCCAGGCTGGACTGACAGCCTCCAAAACAATACAGAGAAACCCTGTCTCGTAAAACCAAAAAAAAAAGAAGGTATCAGATCACCTGGAGCTAGAGTTACGATCTGCCCCTTGCGTCCTGAGGAAGTACTCTTAACCACTGAAGCATCGCTCTAGCCCACACTGTCAGGCAGATTTTCTTATCAGCCTCCGCACTGGGTTCTACTGGGTTACACCATCTAAGCTGAAGTTATGTGCAATTTAGGGATGCCTCCAAAGGACTTTGTGGATGGATGTGAAGATCACTTACTGTCTGATACTAAACCACAACTGAGGAAGTATGCACAGACAACCGTCAGGACTGAGACTTCACTGATGTCAAGTACCCAGGAGCTTCCTTGACAGCAGAGACCCGGGCAAAGGCCATGGTGGAAGAGCAGAGCCCAACTGCCTTGTCAGTCTGGAAAATGGAGAAGAAACTTGGGCCAGGCCTGGCTGGACAGAAAACGAGACCAGTATAGGCTGCTCCTCTTGGTCTCACCAAGTCCTCTCCTACCAGGGCAAAAAGCTCAACAGGCCAACAAGAAGTTGTGTGGACTCAGTAAAGAAAAGACCAACATTCAATGCTCTGAGCTGCCGCTGCCCCAAGGGTGTGCTGCCCATGCCATACCTCAGACCCAGCAGGGTACAGAGTAACCAGAAGCCGCCTCTCTGACTGAGACACTTACCTGCATCCTGACAAAAATGGTGGTAAAAATGTGATCATTCGAAGGCACTATGATTGTTTACACACCACGTGCAAGGACACCACACAACAAACAGGGGAGAAAACAGACTCACCAGGCCTAGTAGTACAGGCCGGCAATTTCAGCTCTTGTGAAGGGGAAGCGGGAAGATCATGATCAAGGCCAGCCCAGGCAAAGAATAAGACCATCAAAATAAAAACTAAATAATGCTGGGGATATAGCTCAGTGGCAAATCATTTGTCTCCAAGCGTGTACTGGGCCCTACCTAAGGTACTCCAATTCCCAGTACTCCAGAAAGGTAAAAAGAAAACAGGCTCAGAAATGACCCACAAAGATGTTAACAGACCTTATTTAAAATACTATCAGTATGTTCACTTGTACAGCTCTCACTACTGCACAACATGGAGCCCATCAATAGTCTGGCAAGACCTCAACATAAATCCAGCCACACTGAACCTTTTAGAAGAGAAAGTGGGTGGTACCCTTGAACGAATTGGTACAGGAGACAGCTTCCTGAACATAACACCAGTAGCACAGACAGTGAGATCAACAATTAATAAATGGGACCTCCTGAAACTGAGAAGCTTCTGTAAGGCAAAGGACACAGTCAACAAGACAAAAAGGCAGCCCACAGAATGGGAAAAAAATATTCACTAATCCCACATCTGACAGAGGGGTTGATCTCCAAAATTTACAAAGAACTCAAGAAGCAAGTCTCCAAAACATGAAAGGACCCAATTAAAAAGTGGGCTGCAGAACTAAATAGAGAATTTTCAATAGAGGAGTCTAAGATGGCTGAGAGACACTTGAGAAAGTGCTCAACATCCTTAGCCATCCGGGAAATGCAAATCAAAACAACTCTGAGATACCATATCACTCCTGTCAGAATGGCTAAAATCAAAAACACCGAAGACAATTTATGCTGGAGAGGATGTGGTGAAAGGGGGACACTCCTCCATTGCTGGTGGGAGTGCCAACTGGTTCAGCCACTTTGGAAATCAGTGTGGAGATTCCTCAGAAAAATGGGAATAAACCTACCACAAGACCCAGCAACTCCACTCTTAGGCATATATCCAAAAGATGCCCATTCATACAACAAAGATGTCTGTTCCACTATGTTCATAGCAGCATTATTTGTAATAGCCAGAACTTGGAAGCAACCTAGATGCCCCTCAACCGAAGAGTGGATAGAGAAAATGTGGTACATTTACACAATGGAGTACTATTCAGCAGAAAAAAAAAAAAAACAATGGAATCCTGAGATTCGCAGGCAAATGGATGACACTAGAAGAAACCATCCTGAGTGAGGTAACCCAGTCACAAAAAGAGAAACATGGCATGTGCTCTCTCATATATGGATTTTAGACATAGATCTGGGGAGTGCCAGCCTACAATCCCATGGCCAGAGAGTCTGGGAAACAGAAACTTCATTTAGTGGCTGATGGAAGAAGAGGCAGACTCCCACAGCTAAGCACTGAGCTGAACTCAAGAAAGCCAGTAACAGAGAGGGAGGACTGATGACCAAAGGGATTAAGACTGGGCTGGTTTAACCCCCAGAAACAGCTGACCTGACAAAGGTTAACTCTTGAATCCCAGGCATCAGCCTGGGAATCCAGCATGGGACTGATCAAGACCCCCTGAATGTGAGTGTCAGTGAGGAGGCCTAGGTAATCTATTGAGCCTTGGGCAGCAGATCAGTACCCATCCGGAGTATACACATGGACTTTGGACTCCCATTGAACAATGTGAGGTACACTCTCACCCTGAACTCTTGGGGAAGGGTCTAGGCCCTGCCCTATATGAAATGGCAGACTATGGACACCCCCATGGAAGGCCTCACCCTCCCTGGGGAAATGAGGGGATAATGGGGGAGTGGGGGGAGGGCACAGGAGGAGGGTAGGGAAAGGGAGAGGGACCTGGAACTGACTTGTGAAGCAACCTTGTTTCTTATCTAAATTTAAACTGAAAAATAAATTTAAAAAAATAGTCTGGCAAGAATGGGAGAGAAACATATGATGCCTAACCCCTAGCTGAGGAGGTTATGTTTCTTAAGTGGTAAAGCCAATGGTATGTTACCCACTATCCAGTCAATAACCCTGTAACATAGGCATGCAAACAATCCTAATTAAACTCTGTGGGATGAAAACACACACACACACACACACACACACACACACACACACACACACACACTGAAGTAGGAGGGAAATGTGTTGGGAAGAAGGAATCGGGAGTGAGAAGGAGATAAAAGAGGAAAACAGAAGTGAACAGCAGCAAACATATTATGCACACATATGAAATTGTCAAAGAACAAATTATAAAATATTAGTAACAGTACGATGTCCAAAAAACCGTAAGAGGTTAAGTTTCACTGGAAAACTACAATTACAAAAAGATCATGTAAAACTTAAAACAGATGTCAATAAAACGACAGACACGAATAACTCCATAAATACACTTAACAGACTTTGGAAGGAGTAAAATGATTACAGCAGAAAACTGGTTACCAGGAAATCTCCTAACAAGAGCAGAGTGACAGAATGGAAGCAAGGGAACATAAAGATTTCAAGTTCAATACATATAAAAGTTGTCTCTTAGGGAAACAGGGTAAAATAACTGTCTGTCATTTCCCAAAATTGATTTTAAAAAATCAAATCACAATTCAAAGAGCATACTTTGGTCTCCCACAGCAAAGCTGCTTAACTGTAGACCAGAATAAAAACCAGCATCCAGAAAAAAAAATGGGTAATTACAAAGCAAAGGAACAGCAAAAACAACTGATCAGATCAACTTTTTCAAAGTAGAGATACTGTCAACTTTTTATAAACTTCTAAAGATAAGAAAGCATCCCCAAAGTGTACCTGATGAGGAACAGGTACAGATTCTAGTTATAAACCATTAGACTCCTGTGCTCATGCTCACTCCATTTGCAGTGATGTCATCCATAGAAGTGTCACAATAAACAGAAGCTGCCCACATGTCCAGCAGAGGTAGAGCAGGTAGAACGATGAAGCACTTAACACTGACCAGGACAAGCTGCTGTTACACTTAGCAGCAACATGGAGAAGGTGCTATAAATGTATGGACTCTACTTCGGTGCCAGGGAAAATGAATCAGGAGGATTGCCTTGAGTTTGAGGCTAGTCTGTGCCACAGAGTATGACCCTGACTCAACAAAGGAAAATGCAAACCATCCTATTCCTGTAAGGTTAAAACTCAGAATGAAACTTTGGGGGTGACGTCTGCAGGAAAGGGAAGAAGCAGTCAAGTATCCTCAGTGTCATATTCAGTCCGTGGACAACCTTACAAAAGGAACACTTGAACAAGGACAGTTCTCCACAGCTTACCACACTAAGCTCACATCCCAAGACATTGCTACTGAGTTAAAAAGAGCTACCATCCTAACAACTTGCCATCTATTAAACCTAGGCTGACAGACTAGGGAAATAAAACTTTAAGAACTGTACTAGAATATTTATTTACACAATGTGTGGCAATTAGTAAGGAAAAAGAATCTGCATACATAAGCAAAAAAATGTGGTATTGACCTACAAAATATCCTTTAAGCGTTTTGGAACTAAAAAAAATCAAAAATGATGGTTGAGAACTTTTTCTTTAAAACAAAGGGAAAAGAAAAAGCAGAAAGATTCCATTGAACTCTAACTTCTAAAGCTAATCATTAAAATTGCTCTGGAGGCTTCTGGCTTTGCTTTTCAAGGCCTATGAATTTAAAATATTCTACTTGCTTTTGTTACAGACTATGAAAAAGAACCATATGGTTTTGACTGACCACTCAAAGTCCATATTCCCCAGACAGTGGCAAGTATTCAAATGAACAAATGATATAAAATTTTTCATTTTCTGCCTAATAAGAACTGTACTAAAAAATGGTCAATGAAGTACTTACTTTAATTAAAAAAACTCACAAAAATATAGCTGTCATCTTCTGAGAATACAGATACAAGACTATCTTCATATGTAACTGAAAATTGTGTTCTCATTTCCACAGTCTTTAAGACAGACTAACAAGTGTTCATAACAACACCAGAGTTCTCCTATATTTCTTTTTTTGTTTGTTTTGTTTGTTTGCTTGTTTGTTTGTTTTTTGGTTTTTACGAGACAGGGTTTCTCTGTATTGTTTCGGAGGCTATCGGTCCAGCCCGGCCTCGAACTCACAAAGATCCGCCTGCCTCTGCCTCCCCGAGTGCTGGGATTAAAGGCATGCGCCACCACCGCCCGGCTCTCCTATATTTCTATAGTATGTATGTGTACAGTGTAATTTGTTGTGCCAACAAACTTTAACATAAGCAGAAAGGATGTCTAACTAAAGTTTGTACATGGTAATATAATGAAGACCACAACTCAGGTCTGGCTCATAGTCAAGATTTTCTCATTGCACTTTATACCTTTAATTTGTACTTTAACAAGTTACCCAAGGTCATCTAAGCCTTTCAGAACCACACAGGTAGCAAGTTATTTCACCCTAACCAAATACATCCAGTAACACATAGGATGGTCAGTCTCTCAAGTTAATGGGATTCTACGAAGCAGAAATTAAACAAGATCTTTTCTACCTGTCTTGCCTTATGGGCTGTGCTAATGTCATGATTTCTTAGGCAGCTGACAGCTCTTGGGTCTGGGGGCCGGCCCACGTTCCAGTCGGAAACAGCGCTGCTGTCAATGGCCCACTGTAACACAAAACATATGTCAAGTTCCAGTACGGTACCTGCCGTGCAATGTGATTCATGGGGATGCCATGTTTTCTCATGCAGTTCTGCCCACGATAGTCAGGGGGATTCCCCACTTCATAGGTGGATGTAGCCGCACTGTCTATCCTCCACTGCAGGAGAGAAAAAGAATGTTCTGGAACCTTGCTGCCCAAAGGTAGTCAGCCTGGACTCTTTACACTACTGAATAGTACTCACATTATCTGAAACATTTTCATCAGTTACCAGTTTTCTGAAAACAGCTTCTGCGATGGGTGACCGGCAAATGTTACCTTAAAAAAAAAGAGGGAGAAGACATACAAAGGTTAGTTGTGGAAGAAAGGTAGATATCAACCCCTGACCTACAGAATGGGTGGACAACTCCCAAAATGGATGCCTAGAAGCTATATTCATTTAAAGTTGGGAAAACAGTACAGAATTCACTAGCAGAACAGTTGATCAAACAAGGTTCATGACCCATGGCCGAGGCAACTAAAGCTCAAGAAAACAAATAAAACCCAAATCAATTTTCACTAGCAATGAACCAAAACCAAGTCCTGAAATTAATGAAGTGAGTTGCAATCAGCTTTGTTTAAACTAAGTACAATACAACAGGAATATGTATTTTCAAACTTACCAAGCATACCTTGCCGCTCGGGTTTGGTGATTCCTTAGAATCATGGAATTCCTGATTCCATGTAGAATTCAGGTAAGTGACATAGTTGCCATTCAAAAGAAGATACAAATTGGAGACAGACGGAGAAAGGGAAAATTCATTCTGTGGTCTTCTTGTCCCTGGGGACACTTATCCCTCTTGTCACTGACTGACAATATGTAAAAGTATTACTGCCAAGCCAGGAAGCTACCCAAAGTAGATATTCAGTACTAGTTAAATGTAAGGGGATGATGACTCAGGACCCACCTGAGTCCCCCAACAACATAAACTATGGGGACTCCAGGTGTTAACAGATACTCCATTACTCCAAGAAAGTACCAAGGAAATCAAAGATGAGCCAATCTGAACAAGAACCAAATTCCTTACTACACCAAGAAAGACTAAAGAGACCTTAGATCCGCAAGCCGATCAACAATGAGGCATGCTCATATACTGAGAACACACAATACAGTAATTTTAAAATGCTGATAAACAATTGCTACAGTAGCACAAGACAAAGAAACATAAAGATTCCACAAAGCTAAATAAGATGCCAGGAAACCTAAGCTTGAACTGACACCATAGAATAAGCAGTCTAAATGGCATAGTGGAAGGACCAGAAGGTAGGAACTGCAGGGTGTGGGGTACAGTCTGTACAGTCCAGACACAGGAGGCGGGTTACAGTCTGTACTAGTCCAGACACAGGAGGCGGGGTACAGTCTGTACTAGTCCAGACACAGGAGGCGGGGTACAGTCTGTACTAGTCCAGACACAGGAGGCGGGGTACAGTCTGTACTAGTCCAGACACAGGAGGCGGGGTACAGTCTGTACTAGTCAAGACACAGGATGCAGGTACAGTCTGTACTAGTCCAGACACAGGAGGCGGCAATTGCCATCAGGGAGTATGAACTGAGGGGCCTGGGACATGGAGCCCTAATCCCACACCAAGTCTGTTCTTGGTGTAGTCAGTGAGAAGAACCTGGAGGTTCTGGCAAAGCGGCTTACCAAACACATTTGTTTTGTATGCCTACGACTTTTGAACCAAGTACTGTGGTAAGCCTGCAAATAGAAAGCTGTTTGTACAACTTCTTCCTGCAAGGTGGGAAGCTCAGAGATACACTGTGAGGTTACATGAAAAAAACCAATGGGAAATCGTCTAAGTATGTGGGTATGACTCCTTTCCTCACCCACCCTTTAATCAGCCCAGACAACCCTAATAAGGCGGGTTTATAAGAGGAAAAAAAATAAAACAGATTTAATTAGTTTTATTAAAAGACATGGAAACCTTCCAATTGAAGAGCCAAAGAGTTTGAAAGAACTGTCCCATTTTCTATTTGTTTAAGTTAGCATATATAATTTTTATGACTAAATCTGGTAAGAACGGATAGTTGTGACTGGACAAAACAAATTTTCCTGATGAAACACAGGGAGACCATTAGGAGCCTAGTGAGGTTTGTCTGTATTTACTCTTTCTTTCTAGTATAGGATCGACTATGGAACAGGTCTTTAAGGAAGAAGGGGAAATACTATTTCTAGGTTTAAGGTTTCTTAAAGGAAATCAGAGGAATTATAGATTCTATGTCCTATCTTAGAGGAAGTCTGGTTTGCTTCAGGGGACAAGAGGCAGGAAGGCAGATGTAAGAGAACTTGGTCCAGGTACACAGCAAGGCAACACAACATATTTGTGGTATCGCACAAATCCAGCATTTAGAACAAAATTAAGCAAGCAAGAAACTGTGAGACTTCTAATATACAATAGGACATTCTGACATGGATGAAACATAGATGCTCTGATCCCTGGACCGGTTCCTGCCATGATTGTACATTCTTCCTATATACTGTGGCTTTTTTGTTTCTAATAGCAATAAAAAGTCTTATTGATTAACCATTAAAGCTAAGACAGGAATTTACTTTGGAAGTCCTCCATAATGCTAGCCCTGGTCATGAAGGTTTTCCTTTCTACATTCTATTTTTTATTTGTCTCTGTATATGTGTTGGTGCACAGGCAAGTGTGCAGGTACATATAGAGGATGGGGGTAATGTTGGGTGGTGTTCCTCAGAAGTTTCCACTTTGTTTTCAGAGACAGGGTTTCTTACTGGTTTAGAGCAACCTTAGTAGAATAGGCTTGCTGGCTAAGAGGCTCAAAAACCAACAGACTCTACCTACCCAGTACTGGGATTATAAATGTTACCATGTACAGTTTTCGTTTTGTTTTTCTTTTATTTAAACACAGGTTTTTGGAATAAAACCCAGGTCCCTCCGACTAAGATCTCCCTAGCCCTGATTTTTCTCATAAAGATTGGCCATCAGTACTGTTTCACCACCAAAGACCTTATGCACATTACCACATATCCAGGCTACACTTTTTATAGCCAATAGTAATGGGAAAATTAGGACAACTGCCATTATTTTAGAACATCAGAAGTAACTGATGTGTAGTATATCAACATTTAAAGATAAAATGTCTCCACCTTTGTATAAAAAGAAATATATCATTAACTGTGAAGTAACAGTTTTGTTTTTCCACAATACAAACATTTGGGCCATTTCATCATTTTAGCATATTCACTCATACTTTCACCCCAGACAGCTGTATTTAAACTAAGATATGTAAGTGCAGATTAAAAGCACCCTATTTCTACAGAGATTACAAGTCATGAAACCTACAAGATCAGTAAAGGGAACTACCAATGCCAATTAACTTGCCTCTGGCTTCCCAAATGATGTTATTAAAATTAATGTTGCTAAAGATTCACAGTTGACATGTTGCCTAGTATATACAAGATCCTAGGTTAGAACTCTGACCCCCCATCAAAAACTCATAAATAAAAACATACATATATACATTGAAAGTCAGTTCACTGGCCATAAGAAAATCACAGAGCCTCAGATTTTACCTTTCACAAGTTCTGGAACTTAAACATGACCTTGGTTCTCTTACCAGCCACAATGGCTAGAGCTGAGATCACACCTGCCTTTGTCCAGTCTGGACCAGCTTAACAGAGCAAAAAGCTCCTCTCATAACCTTGATGAAACAAGCTCTTTTAACCAGTAGCCCCACCAGTGACAAACTCCTGATGCTTCTGTGCATGTTCACTTCACCTTAAGGGAGTCTGATGAAGGGTTCTCAAGGAATAAAACGTTTGCATTTCAAACACAACAGCTTTTGCTGCACTCCAAATGGGCTCTGGGTGTAACGCATCTGTACCACTCTCAGATGTTCCTGGACCAGCAATTTAGCAGCTAACTAGCACACATCTGACTAAGAAAGATATCCCTGCTTCTCCCAGGGCTTCCTGTGGCCTAATCTCCAACTGCAGATGAAATAAACTACACCCCTCCCCACTTCGGCTCTGAACGTCCTGTGGCTTATCTCACCCAGAGTAAACCCAAGCCCTCACATTGCCTCCCATGAGCTGCACTCCAAATAGGGGCCCAGAAATGACAACTCATGGCTTACCACACTCACATATAGTCCAGAAGGTTAGCAAAATGTTTAGTTTTAAAACATTTTTTAAATGCAAACGCAGAAAATCTTGTGATATGTAAAAATTGTATCGAGTCCCAATGCTGGTATCTATGAACAAGTTCTACTGATCATAACCAAGCTTGGTTCATTATGGGTCATCTATGGCTACACTACTGTTCACCCCACAAAGTTAAAGAATTCATTCCATCTCTTTACAGAGTATGCAGATGCCTGACCTAAAGTATTCACTGTACATAATAAGGACCTAGTTTCTCCCCGTGTACTTAGAATGAAATTACTTTGGTACCCATGGGCAAAGAAATCTTGGCTGAGAAAGGCTGCCCGGTCTCCAAACCCAGGTACCATGACTTCCCTGGTTACAACTCGTCACCTGAACACACGTTCTGTCCTCTGGGCCAGGAAGGACAGGCCTCCTGCCTGAGTCCTGACTACAAACTACACCCTGCTCCCACAATTCTCATCAAGTGCATGAGGCCACTGGCATTCCCTGACTGATAACGAAAGTAACGTGGAGATTAGCAGAAGAGTACATACATCACTGGGTGCATGTTCTTGGGGCAAAAGTTTGCCTTGCTTTCTACCTCCATGACCCCCTCTTCTGTGCTTCCAGACTCCATGGAGTGGTCTCTACCTCATGCTCTGCCCACCTAACGACCGTGATGCTTTGCCTCACCACAACCCCAGAATCAACCATCATTCAAGAAAAGCCCGAAACCTGTGAGACTGAGGCAAAACAAATCTATTCTCCCTTAAATTGTTTTGGTGTTCTAGATATTTCATCACAGAGATAAGGAATGTAACTTGCACAGCGGATGATGGGAGACACAGACTTAAGGGAGGAAGGAGCAAGTTGAGAGGGGCCACATGTTTGGGAGAGACGCGAGCAGAACAAAGATTTGTGGAGGAAGGGCAGTTGGGAGGGTGGCATGGGGCTGGGAAGGGCAGGAAGGAGAGCAGGGGCATAATCTGGGGCAAAACTGCACCGATCTCAGGTTCAGAGGAGCACCAGAAGATGGGGGATGGGTATGAAAACGCCAGGCAAACCAGTGTTCGGACGCGGGCCCAGCCAAAGCCTCCTGTCTCTGCTTCCCTCCGCCCAGGGCTCTTGTTAATAAGCTTAACACAAGAAGCACTTCAAGGTCCCAAAGACGAAAAATATTAAGTCGGAGCGCCCTTACCGAGACACACGAACAACACTGACTTGGACCCAACCTCTGCCATCTTTCAGTACAGACCCTGGCGCCCAGAGACGGCGTAAGGACGTGGCGCATGCGTGCCGCCAGTGTTCTGCTTGTAAACCTGCGCAGTCCAGTCCCGCGCCCTACGTTTGCTCGCCGCCAGAGGCGGGGCCAGAAGTCTCCTGGAGGGCTGGGCTGGCTGCGGGGCGGGGCGGGGCTGGTGGGCGGGGCTGGTGGGCGGGGCCTGGCCCCGGGGTCCGGAGTTTCCTCCGGGCTGGGCTGTGGTCACACGCCTGGGCACAGGGGGCGGAGTGAACGCGGGACGACGCGCCGAGAAGGTCACGGTGGCACGGTGTTGTGCTGGGCGGATTAGGACGTGCCAGGGCGGCCAATGAGCTCTGGGATGGTGGCTTGGGGACCCTCCCTGGGCGGCGCTCCTCTGCTCTGAGGTGCCGCCCTTCCGGGCACCGTACCCCCGTGGGACCACCGGACCTAGGCCACGCCACCGCACAGGCCGTGGGTTTTCCCGCTTAAGAAGAGGGGTGGTTTAGAGGGCTCCAGAGGGATGAGGCGGGTGGACGCACCTGAGCTATGTTCTGAGCAAGGCGATAGGACTGGTGATTGCACGGGCCGAAGCTGGGCGTGCACCGACTCCCTCACCTGGGTCAGGTGTGCGCCCGTTGGGCGGGTCCTGTCGGGGAGGCGAGGCCGGCCAAGGAGAACGCCTTCCTCTTCCAGGGCTGGTGAGAGGAGCTCGGGCACCGAGCGGAGCGGCGGGCATCAGTGAGTACGGGTCTGAGCGGCTGGGGCAAGTCGGTATTGTGGCCACTCTTCATCTTGCAAAGGGCATTGTGGAAGAGAATGAAACAGTCGAGTCCCTGGGTCTGTCTGTGCGCTCCCACCAAGTCCATACTCCACACAGATCTTTTGGCAATTCCTCGGAACTCAAAAGATTAGTTTCTACACTGCTGGTCATGAAGGTTTTTGGTTGACTGCTAATAACAGTCGTTTCAGTTCCTTATAGGTAAACTGGATTTCCAGTTTTGAAGATGGGTTTTCATCTTATTATTTTTCTAATGTCTGATGTTTTACTCTCTTCTGGTTTCGAGTTGTTTTTGAGAAATGGCATCCTGTGTGTTTGTCTCAGATGGGGGAACTGCACCTTTGATACAGAGCCGAGATTTGTGTAGGGCTTTTGTGGGAACGGGGTCTCTGGAAAGGGATATCCTCCTGGGCGGGGACGCTCACATGAGTTTGGGGCTTCCAGAGGAAGAGGTGTCAGTTCTGCAACACCACGCTAAGAGGGGTGGCGGTGGAGAGTGCTCTCGGTGCTGTGCCTCTGGATAAAGTGCCTGTGCGTTCCTTTTTAGAGCTTTGAATTGGCTGGTAACAATAGGAAGCAGTTTTCTCTACTGTCAAAATGTGCCATCTTCACAGCATTTCAATAAATGTTACCACTGCCCTGCTGAGGCAGAGCGGGGAACAAAGACTTGAGAAACCTCACCCGTAGGAATGCCCTGCCCTGCTCTGTGTTTACCAGGTGAACAGGTTCTATATTCCTGCTGGCCCAGGTACTTCCTGCAGATATGAGGAAATGTTTGGATTCATAATGAGTTGGTAAACCTGCGCACAAAGTTTAGAGAATAACAGGGCTGGGTTTAAGGTGCTGTTTTATTCTACACTGCGGCCTGTTATTGAAATACCATAGCAGCATCTGGTTGTTCGCAAATTGCTATGCTGGGGGGTTAAAATAGAGTAAGTGATAACTTCCATCCTGTTTACGGCATCTTAATTAAGGAGAATTGGCTATCGGCTCACTATGTTCAGTTTCTGTGAAATGAGTAAATACTATTCCACTGTTTTAATTTTATAAAAAGTTTTTTAAAAAACTCTGGTACATTTATTATTTTTTATTTTTATTCTCAGAAGATTTCTCCCTATTAAAAACATAAATATTTGGTGTTTCAAAATAAAAGGTTGATAATAGTCAAAGGTCAAATGTGTGCATTGTAACTTACTAAGAGTCGCATGTCCTTTGTCTATTGACTCATCCGAAAATGATGTTGTGAAAGGACAGGATTCTTTACGGTTTGAGGTCTAAACACATTAAGATCAAATTTTTCCTGTTTTGTAATGACAGACAAGCAGGCATCCATGATCCTGCCCTAAGCCATCGTGGGAATTTCTCGGGGAAGTGGTACAAGGCAAAGATTTTTTTTCCTGCCCTTGCTCCCAGTTTTTTGTCTCCATCAACAGCCAGGTGTCAGAGCGGGCAGGGAAAGCAGTGGAGCTCACATGGATAATTGGTTGTAAAATTTGTTTAAGGAGGTTAATGGTCTGACCAAGAACATAGATTCTGACTTACTGATTTGACAAACTTGGACTCCTTAAGACAAAGTGAGTAGTTGAAACTCAAGCTCCAGAAGGACTACTCTGATCTAGAAAGAAAGGTGGAGGATGTCAACATCAGTGCTTAAAGATGTGCTTCCCGGGGAAGGCAGCATTTCAGAGCCTCTTGAGAGGCTCGCTCTTTTTTTTTTTTAACTATGATTTTATCAGCTGCTCTAAATATTTGGTTTATAATGGGATTTTTATCAACTTAGCAAATTAACCTTATAAGTTAAAATTTTAAGACCTGGATTAATACAGAGTGAAAATGTAGAAGGCCATTTCTAGAAGTACATTTCCTACATATATTGTGTTTGTATTTCTGTTGATGTTTGTTTTTATTTGTCCGTTGAGAGTTGGTTGTTGATGACATTAATTTATGATCTAATACTCTAATAGAAAAAGAGGGAGGGGCCCTTTGATCTCTGGGCTTTCATCTTGACCCTGCTTCTAGTTTAGAAGTAGTGATCAGCTTTCTTACTCCAGTGGAAGTTTGTTCAAAATGAGATGCAAATGACACTCTTTGACCCCCTAGCCTGAGTTATTAACAAATTGTCAATATGTAAAATGGTTTCCAGATCTTAGTTCACAGAAGCTATGAGATTTACAAAGCAAAATTTTCTTCACAACTTTTATACTCTTCTTAATATATTAATAGTATAACATTATTTTAAAATTTAGAAATATTCAAATATTTTAGTCGCTTCTGAAAAAAATTTACTTTCTTGGCTTGAGATTTCTTCAGAAAAGAAAGCCTTATAGTTTGCTTGACTTTGGAGTTCAGTGTTTCAAGATTTTTATGAGTATTCAGATCCTGATTGTGAGGTGAAGTTGAGGAGCTATCGTGGTCATTCAGCAGAACCATTGAATAGGATACCCATATCCCTGCTCTGTTGTCATTATAGCAAAACAGAGGAAAAGGGAGTGCAAGGATTCAGGCATTATGAGAAAAGCCAACTGCATCAAATTTTATATCTATTAAAGACAATTATGAAGTATATCTTTTGTTAATCCTCAAGTTCAACCTTTTATTACACTAAGGTGATTTAATTATGAGGAGAAGATACTTAATGAGGAGAGAAGCCCAGCCACCTTTCACCTAGAAACCCAAGATCCCATGCTTTTGTAATTGGTGAGAGTTTGAGTATTTAGTGTTAGCCATCTGCAAGATCTCATAGATGAGATAGTGAATAAATGAGGACTGGAAGTCATTCTCCTTGGTAACATTTGACTTTAAATGCTTAACTGTGTGAGAGAATGAAACTGAAATACATTCTAAAACTAGATTTTTTTCCTCACTGTCATATGTTTTTTTAATCTTTCAGTGAATAACCCTATACCTTCTAATCTGAAGTCAGAAGCTAAGAAGGCTGCCAAAATATTAAGAGAATTTACAGAAATAACTTCCAGAAATGGGCCCGATAAGATCATTCCCGGTAGGTAAATTTCTAAATATGTTTGTTTTCTACATTGCTTTGTACATTCCTTAGCATTTCTCCATTTCTCCATAGATGTCCAATGGAAACAAGCAAACATTTAGACTGCCCTCGTCTGAGACTTCAGAGGGACAGCACTTTACAGGCAGTCTTCTAGTGGGTAGGCAAAGACCAGAGCCAATCAACAGGAAACCCTCCCTCACTTTGCTTCCCTCCACTTAGAGGAACCAGCCTACACCGTTGAGTCTTCTTAAACTCTGTTTTTTGTTGTTGTTGTTTTTATCAGTTTTGGGGGAATTTGCAAACAGATTTTCAAAATTCACTAGCTAGCCTCTCAGATAAATTTTCGTGATGTAAGCTTTTTAAAGCACTTCATGATGTTTCTTGCAAATAGGGAAATTGTACTTACAAATAATATTTTTTTATGTAAGCAGAAGGCACCAAAGAGAATTTGGTCCATAATTCTGAAGAATTCCCATAACTGGCTTCCTGTTCTTCTAAATGGCACTGTTATTTTATGTCCAAAACTTTCATCAATAGCATTAACTCCTGAAATGATACATACCAAGTGCTAATGCCATGGTTTTAATTCCTATGTTTACACATATGCTAATGTAACTCATCAAACTCAAATCTTCCCTTGCAACTAAACAGAGTGAATAGTGGTGATATTGTACCTTTAGAGAATAACTCTCATTTTATGTAATAAACTCTGAAATGTGAATAAACTAGTATTGTAAATAGAATTAGAATTTGAATATAAAGTGGTAGTTTAAACAGGTCATGAGTTTAGAAAGAAAACCTTTTGAAATGGTGAATCACTTAATTTTGTTGTCAAATACAAAATTTCATATTAATAATGAGTTCAGCTCTATATCTTTAAAATCTAAATTCTGTCACAAGCTCTATTTTAGTCATTGCTATTTTGTTTGTTTGCAGCCCATGTGATTGCAAAAGCAAAAGGACTTGCAGTTTTGTCTGTGATTAAAGCTGGATTTCTGGTGACAGCCAGGGGAGGCAGTGGGATTGTCCTGGCACGTCTTCCAGATGGAAGTAAGTTGGTACTTGTAGAGACCTTAAGTCTTCTGTGTTCTGCATCTGTTGTGGATGCTCTCACAGGAAGTATGACCTGCGAATCTGCCGTGTGCTTCTTCTCGAAACGTATAATGTGTTTCAGGAAGTAAACAGGAAAGCTAGCATTAGATTATTACTAGATGGGACTCAAGAATATCTGACTATATTGTATTACAGTTTATAGACCTTCTGTGGAACACTTTCTTGAGCATACTACACACATTTCTCTTGTTGAATGTGAGTTCTCACTCCT